TTCCAAAAGCCCAAAGGGTATTATCCTATCCCCTCTCTCTCTCCTGCTATCCCTCCTTACCTCCCAGCTGTTAAAAAACACCACTCAGAAACTTTGGATCCCTGAAGCTTTACTGTTTGATAAGGAGTTCTTCCCAAAGTATGAGAACAAGAGGGAATGAAGACTGAGCCTCAGTTTCCTCTTCTGCAGAACAGGGACAGTAGTAGCAGCTGTATCAGGCGGGTCCAACCTGCAGCCCAGGACAGCTTTGAATGTGGCCCAACACAGATTTGTAAACTTTCTTAGAACACTATGAGATTTTTTTTGGCTTATCAGCTGTCATTAGTGTTGGTGTATTTTATGTGTGGCTCAAGACAATTCTTCTGATGGGGCCCAGGGAAGCCAAAAGATTGGACACCTCTGATCTTTGTCAGAGGGCTGATGCAATATGACTTAAATATGTAAAAAACATAAATATGTAAATCCCTTAGCATCATGCTTGAAAGAGTAAGTGCTGAATACATGTGAACCGTTCTGACTGTATGATTGTTATTGACAGCGTGGGGCTCTAAGGAATCGTCGTAGAGGAAAGGAAGCGTGCTGAGGGAATGAAGGGAAATTGCTGTTATAGCTACCACTTCTGTGAGTGATTCTTAGCTAGCTGGCAAACGTCGAGGTGCAGGATGGCCAAGGTGGTTGCAGAATGTAAGGGTTGGGATCATCTGAGGAGTGAGAGTCTTCTGGATCTGGGCCAGATGCCAGAGGTGCAGGAAAATGTTGATGATCACCACTTTTCCAAAGCAGTGGGCATTGCCACAACCCAGTTGATGTGATACTGGGGCCATGTGAGTCTTGGCCTATGGGGCAGTGACCCATCACTTCCAGTCCTTGATTGAGGACATTTTTAGGGCAACGTGACAGACAGCTGGAGAGAGAGTTCTGATGCGGGTATCATACGGAATAAGGCCTCTTTTTTTTTGGCATTAATGAACCCATTTGCACATGTTAAGAGACTCCCTTCTTTCCACCCATCATGAAACGTTTGAGGGCAGGGTCTTTCTCTTGTCTGGTGGGATGGTAGGGTCGCTGCCTTGTTCTTCTGAAGCCCCTTATTGTCTTTTTTATGTTTTCCTTCCAACTGTTATTTTAGGTTCAGGTTTGTGAATGCGTAGGTTTGTGATGTGAGTAAGTTTCGTGCCGCTGGGGTTTGGTATACTGATTGTTTCATCACCCAGGTACTGAGTACAGTACCCGAGAGAGAGGTTTTCCGTCCTCACCCTCCTCCCATCCTCCACCCTCAAGGAGGCCTCGGTATCTATTGTTGCCATCTTCGTGTCCATGTGTACTCAATGCTTAGCTCCCATGATAAGTGAGAACATGCGGTATTTGGGTCTCTGTTCCTGCATTAATTTGCTTAGGAAAATGGCCTCCAGCTCCAACCATGCCGGCAAAGGACATGATTCAAACTCTGTTTAAAGGGAGATTCAAAGGGAGCTTTGCCCAGAGCTCCCTGTACCTGGAGGCCGCCTTCATGCTCTTGCACAGAGGCTATTCCTGTGAAAGGCAGGTACGTCCAACTAAGGGAAATGGTTTATTCTTCTTTGACATATGCCTGTAATCCCAGCACTTGGGGAGGCTGAGGTGGGTGGATCACTCGAGGTCAGGAGTTCAGGAACAGCCTGGCCAACATGGCGAAACCCCATCTCTACTAAAAATGCAAAAATTAGCCGGGCAGGGTGGTGCGTGCCTCCAATCTCAGCTACTCAGGAGGCAGAGGCAGGAAAATCACTTGAACCCAGGAGGCGGAGGTTGCAGTGAGCCAAGATCGCACCATTGCACTCCAACCTGGGTGACAGAGTGAGACTCCATCAAAAAAAAAAAAAAAAAAAAGGTTAATTCCTCAACTCCACCCTACTTACAGCAATCTAGACTTTTCTAACCCCTTCCTGATGATTTGCCAGAACTTTGTGAATACTTGTCTTATATTTTGCTCCCAAATGGTTCCAAGTACCTGGTTTTTTCTTGCTTTTCCCCTTTTTAATCTTTACCGCTGCCCGCTCCCTGTTGAATTGGACCCAGCAAGTCTAAGCCTGAGTGTCCCAAGCCCAAGTCGCTCTTAGTATCTTCCAAGTGAAATCTTCTTTACACTGGCCCTTTTGTTCTCCATGTTGTGGGCCCTTTGATTATATGACTAGATAATAGATTGACACCAAGAGATCAGATATTATTCTGAAAATATTTGAATAGGTTAGCCCCTAAAAATTTAAGCTACATAACTTTTTAGCCCTATGGTCACATAATCTAGCTACTAACATTTTTCTGGAATTAGATTTTTCCATCATTTGGGAAAAACAAAACAGGAACGATAGGACCGTGGAGAATTGTTTTAGTGTGAAGGCAGCTGTATTTCTGTTGATCAGATGTTGATCTTGGGGGAGAATTCCTTTTTCCTTTCCCTTGAATCACCCTGGCCTCTTAGATAACACAGTGTGGGAGCATTCCAGCCTCAGAGGAAGAGAATTATTTCACTTTGCTGAGCCGCTGTGTAGCAGAATGTAGTTCAATCTGGGGGACCCTGCACGTTTCCAGACCTCTGCTTGTACCAGTTTTATTCCCTACCCACTTGGAAAGGGACCACATCAAAGCTACACAAAATTGGCCCATTATGGACTGGGCGCGGTGGCTCACGCCTGTAATCCCAGCACTTGGGGAGGCTGAGGTGGGTGGATCACTTGAGGTCAGGAGTTTGAGACCAGCCTGGCCAACATGCTGAAACCCCATCTCTACTAAAAATACAAAAATTAGGTGAGGCTGGTGGCATGTGCCTGTAATCCCAGCTATTTTGGGAGGCTGAGGCAGGAGAATCGTTTAACTTGGGAGGTGGAGGTTGCAGTGAGCTGAGATTGTGCCTCTTGAGATCCAGCCTGGGCAGCAGAGCAAGACTGTTTCAAAACAAACAAAACAAGAAAAACCAGCCCGTTAGTTTACAATTGAATTTGAAACTAAAATTGACTCTTTAAAGTTTTATGCTCCCTGAGATTTTTACATACCCTGGAGTAATTAAAATAGTTGTGAATTATTGACAACTACTTGCTTCTTTTCTTCTTGTTTTTTTTTTTTTGTTTGTTTT